ATAGATATATATAGATATAGATATATATAGATATAGATATGTATATATATATATATCTATATATATATATAGAGAGAGAGAGAGAGAGACTCCCTTTTTTATTTGAAGAAAAGTCCATACTGTGGATTTGTTTTTAATGTTAATTAGAGAAGTAAAAATAATGTGATTTAATTTCACAATGTTGATTTTTGTGATCAATCCATTTCCTTTTGCTTTTAAAGGGAAATACATTTGCAGAACAGACTTTAATATGCATAGTCTCATATGCACACTTCTTAGTAATGTTTTTTCAAAGTTTAAAGCTGAATTCCAGGATGAATGAATATTATTTATATAAAAGAGACATGTCCATTCTCACTTGAATCTTGGTGTGCTTTGTGTATTTATTCCAGATCTGTGCAGTAATCCAGTGTGAAACATTGCCTCTGTATAGGAGCTTCCTGTAATAAAGACCAGTCACTGCTGCTCTCTCTGCTTGTGCATTCACTGCCAATCAGCCCCTATGAGCATAGGGGCAAACGGCAGCAAGTGAACTGCTGGAGGTTCGGCCTTCAGCAGCTTAGTGAATAACCCCCAATAGTGATTGCCTGAAAACATCCAACATGGCCAATTGCTGTTTTCTACAAGATAGTTTGGCTGGAGGTGCATGGTGCAGTATATGTTAACCAGGAATGTATTAAGTCACCTTGATGTGTGCCTGAGACTATACAGTTAAAACAACAGCTTTGATGATCATGAAAGCAAACCTTGTTCAATGCAGAACCAGGAAATCATCTCCAAAAATATACTTACAAAATAACAAGGTGAAGGTCGACTGTAATATGAGATGAGTGCTATTTTAATTCGTCTTAATTTCCCGTTCTGTAACCTATGATGAAACAGTTGTTTGTCACTTTTGACTTTAATAGCAAGGCATATCGAAATTCAGCTAGATGTTCCAATAAAGTTAACACTTTACTTGGACAATCTGATTGCAAAGTTCCTTTCACAATGTTACAGAATTCTACAATGTTTTTCTTTTACTAGAAATAATATAACTTAATTCTCTATAAAAGTACATGGCTCTGGAGGAAATATCTTAACAGGTCTCAGCATATTGCATGTAACAAACATTTATGATCAGGTTGGCCATTTAAAAAGGAAGTGAACTCTGGAATCTGTGACCAAAAAAAGGCAAAGGACTAGTCACTAATATTGTCTGTGATGTGCTTGCTTTTTCTAGTTACTGGGTTGCCATGCCTAGTTCTACACTGTTTCCCTATATGTAGATGGCCATCTTGATAGAGGCAGGATTATTCTCATGTCAGAGCCTTCAGTAAGGAGAATAGTGAGCAGCACAGTAGAGACATTACCAAATCTCACTTCATATCTCCTGAGATTAGCTGTTTGAGGCAGCAGTGCCTCACAGGGGTGCTTAGGAACCCATCCATACCAGGAAGTGCATTGCTTTTTTCTGGAGGAATTTAAGGCTTAGGTAAAATTAACATTTCTTAATGTTTCCTAACACAATACAAATCTTTGCTTTTTTAAGTCAGGTCCATTTTCAGGCAAACCTGTACTTCACAAATTCAGAGGAGAGTAACACATACTGATTATAGATGGCTCACTTCACTACTGTTACTTTTCTGCACCACCACCACATTCATTGCCCAGAACGCTGAAAAAAAGGCCCATGAAAGCTTTTGTCTAGTCTAGGTAAAAGTACTGGGGTTCTTGGCCATTGACTGCTAAGGTACCAAGCACTGCATTATGGAAAGAAGAAGAGAGAGAGAGAGTGGCATGCTTGCCCTAAACCCTGAAGTACTGTGTGTTTTAGTGGGATAACAAGGCAGTAGGGGGGTATGGGAAGGTTTGTGTCTAAATAGATTTGCCAAAATAAAATATATAGTTTCTTCTTTTTGTTAGGCCTGCTAAGTACTCAAAAATCCTATAACAGAAAAGAAAGAAGGCATGTGAAGTAAAAAGGATCTGGTAACATGAGTTGGTAAACAGAAAGGGAAGGGAGCAGGTATTTTTTAGCCCCTGTTTTCAGTCTCAGTTCAAAAACCTGTTTGAGCAAATCGATTCACGTGAAATAATTCATGCATATTTGTCCAATATGCAAAGTGGGATAGATACCTGATTTACCATTGGATTTCTGCAATGCATGATTCTTCACAGAGCGGGCAGTTCAATATGTTTTAACAGTTGTGATTGCCTAGTCCCCCCAAGATCTGTGAGGCTATTATCCAATCGAGGTAGAATTGGCAGAGTGGAGATTTTCATTTCATATCTATGTTTAGTATAGGAACTGATGCACTAATGAAGTTTCAGTTAATGCACAGTAAACAGACCTTACTGTATGTTTTACTGCTCAATAATAAATTATATGTGGCTCATTTATTAAACATTGCTAAGAGGGTATAATGTTGTGGTTCCAGGAAGGTTTAATACTTGTCCCAGTTTGCCCCTTGCATTAGTGAAAATGAGGTAGTAAGCCTGTACTTAGTCCTTACCTAACCTATCTAAGAGGCTCAGGTGAAAACCATGTCATCACATATCCTGTGTAGCAGGTATGGGACAGTTGATTTTCAACAGCGGGAACCTGATGTTATTTAACCCTTTCTTTTGCATACCTACCACACCCAGCATTTGTGCTGATATCGTGATATCACACAGTGCTGGCACCAAATGCTCACAGCATTTGTATATTAGCCCTGAAAGTGTGTATTGAGAGATTTGAGCAACAATTGTAAATGCTAATAAAAAGTGATATGGGAACCTGTCATAATATAAATACGGGCCCTCTGCCAAGCTGTAAGTGCCTAAACTGTCAATCTCATCCTTTGGCTTCTGAAATAGGTCACAGACCAAGTACAGCTTGGGCATTACTGGCTGCATACCTGTGTCTGCACTTATTACTTAATGAAGCCAGTGGATGAAAAAGACAGCTTGGGAACTTGAAAGCAGTTGCTCACATATTCAGTATTGGTTTCCAATAAGATGAAAGAAACCCTTATTTTTATTTTGATACTGTAAATTAATCATTGGACAATTTTTTGTGTTTGTTAACCATACCTAGAAACTATATGGACTTGCTTGCTATGGGAATGTAACTCTTTTTAATAGTTTTAATAATTGGGGCTAGCACAATCAGATGTTTCAGCACATAGTTACTGTAAGTGCTACTTGATTTGATAGCAGTGCTATATTTGTAAAGCCTCAAAAATGTAAATTGTAGTATGTATGGATGAATGTGAGGAAAGAAGTCAGCGCCAGCTATGCTTGTAAATGGATAACAGTTTCAGTACTCCATCCAAAACTCATTTATTTTGAGGCAGAAAGTGATTTATGCCCTTCAAAGTAAACTCATGTCTATCTGTTCCGCTGGTCACATCCTCTACCCACTGCATATAAGCTCTACATAAAAAAAACTTTCTTAACCAGTTGACATCCGCGGTGTTAAACCCCCTTCCCATCCAGGCCATTTTTCAGTATTCAGCGCTGCGGTACTTTAACTGACATTTATTCCGTCATGCAGCGCTGTACTGAAATGAATTTTATACCCTACAACTTTTGCTTAGTAATGCCAGGAAACCTTGTTATTATCTTCATTGAAAGGATTTTCAACTTTTTCAGATAAAATTTTCCCTTCTAAAGTATATTAAGCATCTTTTGCTTTAGGCACCTATACTGCACAAACCAGAATAGAGACAGCAAAATGGAAGATATTTGAGCAATTTTGCTACAGGGGAAAATAATTTCATTATTTGGTTGCTGGGCAGGATTGTTGGGCAGGAACCTGTGGCTGAAAAATGTTTTCAGGTTCAGGTAGTACAATAAAAGTTAAGTAATAATTATTACTTGCATGTTTATGATACATAACATAATGTAGTCCTGTGTAGATTAAGGTAAAATTTGGGTCAACAGGTATCAGCTAGGTTTCAACACATTTTAGGCATGCACACCCTTGAAAACATACTGTAGGGTTTTTTTTAGGTATTTTAGAAAAATGTTCTACTTACCTTCTAAGCAGTTCATATCAATTCTTAATGTAATTTAGTGCAGGTTTTAGTCTTGAAAATACTTATAGTTCTTATAACTTTAACATTAGCTACATAAGATTAGTTATTCAAGACCAATTTATGATTTTGTTACACTTTTACAGTGTGACAATACTTGTAAATTTGTGTAAATTTTGTATAGCCTTTTACCAATAAATAGTTACATTCTGGGTACACTTCAAATACCCCAACATTTGTAAGGAAGTTTAAACAACTAGGATTTCCCTCTGCGCATGACTGGATAATTAAAATGAATATAGCTTATTTAGGTTATGTGGACATTCTAATCTACCCCATAGAGTCTTTGCGCTGGTCTAGGTAGTGAGAAGGTTTTATGGGATGAATATTCTTCAAACCTTACAAGGGCACTCAACTTCAGGAATGCAAGTCAATGGTCCTTCATATAATGTATATAAACTCATTTATATATTTATTTTTCCTAAAACTGAACACATTTACCTCTCTTTTTGCAGTCATGGTAACAAAGAGACGTTCTCATGCCGTGGAATTTTACTTGCTGTCAGTTTTTTCCTGGAAAGAGGCCACACAGATATCACAGTTTTTGTTCCATCATGGAGAAAAGAGCAACCTAGGCCTGATATGCCTATTACAGGTAAACAACAATGCCAAGAATATAGCATAAGTTATTATAAAATATGTTTTCTTTAGCATGGATTCATAGTCCTAATTAAATTAGATGAATTATGATTACTGTTACAGCTGGCCAAACAATAGATCTGACTATGGTACCATACCACACCATACTAAGAAACCATATAAATAATTATGTAATGTGTTTCTGTTCAGATTGTTTCCTGTCTCAGTGGGTAATATTTTAGTTCCAATATATGCCTTTACAGGCAGGATGCCAAAATATGATTTTTAATATTTTACTGCATGGCAGTTGTCCTTTTAAAGAGCAGATTGCTTATGTGGGATTGGATAGTTGGACACTCTAATTGAGTATCCATTGAACTGGACAGTAACTAATAGTGGTGTTAAAGGGAATAACCTAAGATTGACTGCCAGGAAATCACCTAGAGACTGGAAAAGCACAAATAAACAGTGGAGACTAGATAAACTTGATAGACTGTGACATACACTACAAGCAAGCCACCATTCGCGGAACATGGAAAGAAAGGAAGGGACATGGATTTTCTTTTATTACTTGTGCTATCACTCTTGAAATGTAAAGACTAGTAAATAGCCTAACAAAAACATATTAGAAGCTAGTGGAGTTAACTGCTGTAACTGGATACTGACACATGAACACAAGACAGGGATAGAACTACAAAGGACAGATAATGAACTAGAAATAAAAATGCAAGAAAGCAGGCCAAAGTCAGAAACTGAAGCAAAATAAATTAATAAGCAAACTGATGGTAGCAACAAAAAAGGAAAGAAAGTCAAACAAGAAGAAAAACCTAAACTGAAAGATTGTCCCAAAACACAGAATCTAAACACACTCAGATGAAACTGGATGAGAAAATTGTTCAAAACGACAGGAATACAGCAATTCACCACAAGGCTGGAATGGTAGACTAAGACAAACCACTCCAAACTACATCAGCCTTAAAGAGGAGGTTCATGGAAAACACACTAATAAAGACCACAGGAAAGACAATGCATGGGTTGGAATGGGTAAAGCAGGGTGGGGCTAAACTGCAAGGCTGGAGACATAATGGCAAGAGGGAAATCCAGGGGAGGCCTAGACAGAATAGGTAGCACAAGCCAGAGATAGGAGTGCCATAGGAAGGAATATTAGATTGTTAGCTCCCATGGACAGGACCCTCTTAACCATCTTGTCTTGACTTGTTATATAAATGTAATGTCCTCCTTATATTGTAAAGCACTATATAAATGCTGAATAATAATAATAATAATAATAAAATCAAATGAAAATGCAACTATATACTGTAGTTCTACTATGAACGTTATTTTATTATAAAGTTGAGAAATGTGTTTTGTGCTCAGTGATAGCTCATGTGCTTTGTATATCTAAATCTGTTCATCATTCATTTTTTTTCTCAACTTATTTCATTTTTTATTATTATTATTATTATTATCTAAATAAACACATTCTAACTGAACTTGAGAAGAAAAAAATCTTGGTCTTCACCCCGTCTCGGCGAGTCAACGGGAAGCGGCTTGTTTGCTATGATGATAGGTTTATTGTAAAGTTGGCTTACAAGTGCAATGGGATCATAGTCTCAAATGATACTTACAGAGACCTCCAGAGTGAAAACCCAGAGTGGAAGAAGTTCATAGAGGACCGGCTACTTATGTACTCCTTTGTCAATGATATGTAAGATCATTTTTGTATATGTTACACTTTCTAACAATATAATGGTACAAAATTGTATCCATTCATTAAATAGAAAGTAATTTAAAATGATGGGGGGGGGGGGGATTTCTCAACAGCTGGTTAAAATTCTGTAATTAATTAGTATATTTTTAATTATTGTTTTACATTGGGAACATTGATGCCGCTTTCTTAAGGGGCATATATTGTGCCTCATTGTCTTTTTAATATTATACAAATTTTTCTTTTAGCTTTCAGCAGACATTTCACAAATATATATGTATACAGTGTACACTGTACACTGTATACAGTATATGTTATACAGAATTATGCACAAAAATACAAAAATATGCCTCTGCTGCATCTATATTATTTTACGGGCAATTTTGGCATTCCTGAAGTGTTTAGCTGTGTAGTATCTGTGTAGGCTATTTTGAGATAATGTGGACCACTCACCCTCAAGCAACATTGTTTTAGTTATTATTATGATTATTATTATACAGGATTTACAGGTGAAACTTGAATAATTAGAATATCATGCAAAAGTAATTGTAGTAAGTGCTGCAAAAGGGGCCCAAACAAAGTACTGAGTACATATGCATGTTTGTACTTTTCAGAGGTCCGATATTGTTCTATGTACAATCCTTGCTTTATTGATTGCATGTAATAATCTACTTTTTTGAGATTGTGGATTTGGGGTTCTTGGGGTTTTCATGAGCTGTAAGCCATAATCATCACAATTATGACAAATCACGGCTTGAATTATCTTGCTTTGCATGTAATGAGTCTATCTCATATATTAGTTTCACCTTTTAAGTTGCATTAGTGAAATAAATGAACTTTGCACGATATTCTAATTATTCGAGTTTCACCTGTATATAGCGCCAACAGTTTGCGCTTTACAATGTAAGGAAGACATTACAATCACAATACAATTCAAGACAAGATGGTAAGGAGGGCCCTGCCCGTGACAGCTTACAATCTAAAAGGGAGTTATAAAGAAAACATCACTGTAGCGTGTATATATTCTGAATTTGGGTTCCACGATTTTTATACTGGTTTACTAAAGGTGCAGATATCCAAATATTATTGAGCATTTCATCCTAGCAAACATGAGCACATTCAATATGAAATTAAATACTTGATGTGCCAGGCTGCTTTTTGACTCTAAGTCTGGTCCTGGACTTCAGCATTACAGCAATGCCTGAAAAGTGATGTCACATGACTTCAGCTCTACATTTTAGATCTTAACAAAGGACTTATAGCATACAAAAGCCATCTCACATGAACTGATAGGCTAGTGTGTTGCCTTTTGCCATCTTGAACTCATTGTTGGTCATTGTAGCCTCCTATCAGATATTAGGACCAATAGTAAAGTCTTGGAGGAGGGAGGCAACTTCTGCATCTTTTATGCTGTACTGATATTAAAATAAAATGTAGCAACAAACTTTATATGTTGATCAGTTCTAATATTTTTGTATTTTTTTACATTAGATTTATGCCTCCGGATGATCCCATGGGTCGAAAAGGACCAAACTTAGATGATTTCCTAAGGAAAAGGCCTCTTGGACCAGAAAACAAAAAACTACAGTGTCCTTATGGTAAGGAAAACTTGCTGGTATCTGAGTCATGCACACATAATGGGAGCAAAATAAATGGTCAGTTATTGCTCATTTACCTGTCACCTGCAAGACCCTCTGGTGTCAGTACCTTCTAGGTCACTGACCTGAATAGATGTAGATCAGAAGTTCTGATTTTTTGCAAACTTGTTCTGGGAGAATAACTCAGAATATACTAAAGGCAAAATTTAGTCATGAATGGACACCCATGTATTCCTTATAAACATAACAAATATACCTTACTGTATGACATCTTCTTCTTTATTTATTGCCCTTGCTTCTCTCATAGACAATATAACAATAACCCTGCAGCATGTGAACTTCGACAGCCAATAAATATATGACAAATGCTGCTGTTGTATGTTATAAAGTACCTTGATATGCCCATAATAACACCTCCATGATGCTAATAACAGAGATGATCACCTGCTTTTATGTTACAGTATTATCATGCCTCTACTAAGTACTATTATTTTCAATGTTTCTTTCAGGTAAGAAATGCACCTATGGAATGAAGTGCAAGTTTTATCACCCAGAAAGGATAAACCAGACTCAGCGTTCAGTAGCAGATGAACTCCGTGAAAATGCAAGGCATTCCCCCACAAAGAGCACTACTTACTTGGAGGACAAGAAAACAAGAAAACATTCTGTTGCTGAGACTTCCATTGTAGAAGCAGACAATTCAAATCTGCAAAAGCTTTCTTTGGAGAGAACTGGATCTTCTCAAAAAGCAAGTGCAATGGACAAGAATGCATTAAAACAATTTTACTCCAATGGAGCTCCTGAATGGTTCCGTCCATCTGTTAGCTCCAAGGATTCCCTTCCTCTTAACTCTTGTGACTCTGGTTTGGGTGATTTGTGGACAAGTATATCAAACAGTTGCTGTGATCCTTCTCATGAGTCAGTGCAATATTGCAGCGGTAGCCAACAGATAGCATGCTGTCAGCATACACCTGATTTGAACTCAGATCCTCGTATACAGTATAGTTCTCATAAAATGGTTCCACATGGTCCTCATTCAGCACCTTTCTTCACCTATAACCAGTCTTCCCCATGGTCAGCCCAAAGTATGTCACAACATATGTACAGAAGGGAAATGTCAGAAATAGGTCCACCTGCCCATCGTAGTCTTCCTGACAATTACGCTGCTTCAGCTACATGCTCACGTGAGTTCTGGTCTGACCCAAATGTAATGCATCATTCCTCAACTAGATCCCAATCTAACTACCAAGGATACATACCAGTTCAACATTCAAATAATGATTACCACCAATGGCAAAACCAGGAACAGTACACGGCAGAGAAATTAAGAGTACGCACTAATCTTTGTGCTATCTTCAACCACCAGTTAGTAGATGTTGTCATGAAAATGCACCCACAACAGTTGGATCCACAGATATTAGCAGCTGAAATATTCAATTACAGATCCCAAAACCGGATGTAAAATTCAATAGATATTATAAGCCTTAGCCACATGATTTATGTGGAAAAGCCATAGCTTTCATTACCAAAGTCTAAAATAGCAAACCTGTGGTTCAGTTTCATTCATCATACTGAGGGTTATTGTTTTGTGATGCTGCATTATGAGAAGCAGTTATGATCAGGATTGACTGGTTGTCTGTGCTATAATGATATTTTTTTTTTTGTCAAGCAGAAGATAAGTAACCTGAAACCATTTTAAACATATCAGTGTTTGTCCATAAACCATGAACCAAAAATAACAATAAGCATCCCTTGTGGTTATTCAGGTAACATGGGTATGGTATAAAAGTGGAGGAAAGTAAGAGTTGGGGAATTGCACATTACAAAACCTGAAATTTCACAGCTGCATTAGACATGTAAGAGAGTTTTTCTTGCAAACTCTTATGTATATAACATCATTGATCCCTTCTTTCCCCCGTTCAAGCCTATGCTGGAAGAATGACATATAAATTCCCCACTACTTCCACCATCACCTTTACTTTTTCTTTCCTCCAAAACATAGAGTATTCCTGTTATACGTTTAGTTATACAGTAGATGATCTCACAAATAACATAATATTGTACAGTTACTGCATTTTTGCAAATATTTAAGCTGAAATGAAACGTTGTATGTTTCAGATACAATTTAACAAGGCTATTTTATCAGCTTTTCTACAGAGCTATTCTTTTTTATGTCTGTCCTGCACAGATACCTAATGTTGTTGTTGGGGGTGCAGTGATTCCAGTATATGGAATTCAGCTAATCCTTTTTTTTTACTATACAAAAGATTAAAGAGGGAAAATGGACTGAGAATCAGTCTAAACTGTTTCCCAATGCTTCTCTCAAACATGACTTCAAATAGCAAAATTCTAAACCAGATGCAAATTAGAACTAGCATTGAGCATGGTATGTCTTTTTGATGGGGCTTCAGTTTTCAGTCAGATTCTCATGTATGCACTAGGCATATCCCTACATTTTAAGCACAAAGAGACTTGGCATTGCCCCACAAGAAAAGGAAGTGAACAGAGCTATAAGTAGATTTTTCTAACATCTGGATGTTCCTTGTGAATGGAAAAAACAAAACAATTGCTGGAGAGCAGTTGACATGTTGATACATATTGTATCCAATGCAAATTTTAAATCCAGTGGTTGGTCTACCATTGTCTAGTGAGAGGGTTAACACAATGCTATAGAAAAGTTAGATGACTGAATTTAATTATTTTAACTGGCTTTATAGTGCCATGTTTTCCAGACTGGTCCTCATTACCTTTCAAGTATCCTCACAAGTAAGATGAACAAACTGATCTGGTAGAATATTACTAATGAATATTTATGTGCTCCATGTCTGGAAAACATGACCTGTGAGAGGTACTTAAGGAAGAGAGAACACTAGAGCACAGCAAAATGTGTGCTTTTGATTATGTTTGTCCAAATCATCATGTGTTTCAACACAATTGTCTTTTGTGGTCAGGCTGACCTGCTGTATACCTAACCTGCATGAGTTTTGGATTACAAAAAACAAGTTGACCCTTCCACTTGACGACTTGTATGACCTGTTGAATTGACACTATGTGCCATTTCACCACCGATGAATGCAATCATTTTATTGTTGATTGTACACATTACATAAATTGTAATGTTTTAAAATGGTAAGCAAAATGCTTTCTTAATTCTGTTGTTATGATAGAGACTGTGTAATAATATTGATATAGTTGGCTAAATCACTTGGTTGGGTTTCATTCTGGCTAAGACTTTGGTTACCCAGTGGGTTGTTCTACTATAACAGTGGTTTATATATTGCTGATTGCATTAATAAACCTAAATATTTTCACAAATGTTTCAGTGTATTTCTTTAAGCAGTTATTCTGAAGAGAAAAGCTAGGAGAGTGGTATTTTATTCACAATTGTGTTTTGTGTATGTTAAATCATATCTCATGATCTGCTTTGTAACTAGTTGTGTTGACATTCTATTCTTTCATCTTTGACATTGTAGTTTTACCTCCACCAAAGCCTGTGAAGAAAACATGCAGGGCTGGATTTCCCACAAGGCAGGGATCCCTATCGATAGATGCCCGGGACATGACGTTCCAGGAGCCGGGCAGGTATTTGTTTTCTACATTTAGCTCTGCTTTGGGCGAGCAGAGCTAAATGAAGAGCTTGAAAACTGCTCGTTCATTTACAAGATATCTGGGCGGTGTCGCTGAGATCACTTCTATGCAGCCTGCTCGTCCATCCTCCCCTTGCTGCCCCAATCCCC